TCTCCTACAAAGGGACGCAGGAACACCTGTGTCACATCTTGTCGTGTGACGTCCGACCTCTACATCCTACCGCCTCACTTTGCAATTGACGAGCTTTTCATCTCCGGCGATGTGCCGTGATCCACCTCCTTGACCGGGCCAACTCTGATTCATAATAATAATTGTTTGATCGTACAAAATAGAGTAGAAGTATGATGGGAGGTGTACGGACCAGGTGCAAGGAGTAGCATGCCGAGATTAGTTTTTGAAGTTTTAAACATTTCCTTGCGTGGGCACAATGATCCGTGTGACATGCGGTGGCGAACCCATCGCCTTGGGATTGACCACATTTGAAGCGTTGTCATCAGGTAGGCATCATGGTGACCATTCGCGAGGGTGAAAAAAGGATAAGCGGTGACACGGTCGGGCGTCGTGTCGAATTAGAGGACGTGGATCTGTTAGGAGTCTTGAGCCATGCTTATTGGGATAGAGTCGTGATAATTTGTTTCTCCCGTTACAAAGCACGTGCATGTTTGCTAGTTGATTACTCATGGTTTAGGTTTGGTTGAGTTGTATGACCATTGCCAACCGGCGTACGATACGATCGAGCGAAGAGAAAAATAAATAAAAGGAAAAAGCCCAAAACCGCGTCTGTGGGGGGAAGAGCCAACCGAAGCCCAAACCCACGTCTTTGCGATGGGCCCACCGAAACCCAAACCCGCGTCTTCAACCCTCCCAAAAGCCGTGTTCCCCTTCCCGCCAGATTTCAACCAAGTAGAAAAGGCGGCAGAGCGCGCGCGTCTTCTTCCACCCTCCCCTTCCGATTCCCAAATCCCAAATCCCAAATCCGCCGCCCACGCCTCCCCAAACCCTAGCTCCTTCCCCGTCGGCCGTCACCTCCATGTCCCATGGCGGCCCCCTCCGACCTTCCCCCGGGTTGCAGGTTCAACCCAAACGATACCGACCTAATCTCCGCCTACCTCCGCCCCATGATCGCGGGCGAGCGCCTCCCTGAACCAGCCGCCAGCTTCCTGCACTCGGCCGACGTCTACGCCGCCGATCCGGCCACGCTCGTCGCTGGACACCTGCCCGCGGTCCTGGTGTCGCCCAAGACCGGCGAGGAGAGGTGCTACTGGTACTTCTTCGGCTCCGCCAAGGCCAGGTCCGTGCGCGACAAGCGCAGGTCCCGAGTGGTCGGCGACGGCAAGGGCCAGTGGCACTCCAAGAAGGGCAGGAAGGTTGTTTCCGACGACCAGGGATGAAACATCGGAGGATACAAGCAGGAGTTCACCTATAAGAGCATTACTAGTAGAACCCTCAAACCCTCAAATCCTTAAAGCACTTTTAAGGGTTGAGAAGTGCCATTTTTTGACACTTTTAAGGGTTGAAAAACAGGGGCAAATACTAGAACCCTCAAACCCAACCCGTAAACTGCTTTAAGGGTTGGATTTGAGGGTTCTAGTCTTTGCCTCAACCCCAACCTTTAAATCTATCATATGGCATCTCACAATTTATGACAACAAGAACACAATCAACTTCCAAACAAACTACCAAATGACAATCATTGATGCATGGTTTAATAGTTTACATCACAAAATCATCATCTTCCTCCTCTCATCGGCACTATCACCAAAAGTTGCACCTCGGCGCCATCTCCTAGACCACAAGCGGGCTCCATCAAGCATCTCCATCGCCACCGATGGAGTCATACACACCGCCATCACCACAACTACTCATCGGAGTGTCACCTCGAAAAGTAGAGGACGCAACACGAAACATCCTCTTCCTCTCCGCGATGTCCTCCTTGTAGTCCTTCCACCATTGCAATTGGTCTTGATCCATGTCCTTCTTGGACATCATCATGTGCTCTTTCTCTTCAACCATGAGTTCTTTCCATACCTTTGCCTCTTTGAGCTTGATCATCCTCTCCTCCAACTCGGCCTTGCGCTTTGCTTCTTCACGTTTTGCTTCAACTTGTGCAAGCTTGACCTCTTTCTTCTTCTCGGTGATGTTTCGTGGCGTGGGCAGGCGCCGGGGCGGGGACGGGGGCCGGGGCGGAAGGCTGGGAGGCGGCAGGAGGCGCGGCGAGGCCCGCCCGCCGCCGCTTCGCCCCGACGTGGGTCGCC